GGACGCAGCCCCCCTGCCTACGCGCTTCAAACGCGAACGAAATGTATGTGGAACCAAAAAATAAGAATTCATTCGTGAAACTTCTTCTCCTTGTAACTTTTTAACAAACAACGACTTCCGCCTAAAACCTTCACATTATTACTCGGGACAATGACCTTCACAACATATATAAAAATTATTGAAATAGGATGTCGCTCCCCTAAACTTAACTGTTCGTAATAACAGCTTGTAATATCTAGAATAAAGCATTAAAATTTTGAAACTTCAAATTGCCATATCTCCTAAACTAAGGCCGTCCCCCACAAAATTTTTCCACACAATCACTCAGTATGACCTGCCTTACAACATATCTGAAGCGCAAATAAATCGGTGATGTGTGACCCAAAATGCATAATTATCAAAATTACAAAAATTAACAAAAATATAAATATAAAAAGTATAAAAGTAAAAAAAGATAATAAGAAAATATAGAAATTAACAGGATTATTACAGCAACATACGCTTTGAACGCACCCTATTAAAAATTGATAAATAAAGTTAAAGTAAATCGCAAACATACACAACCGCAAAGTCAAACATACCTTAAGAAAAACCGTTAGATCATGTGAGCATGCAAGAGAAAAACATAACTTGTAGGGAACAGAATTTGCCGATTTCAAATTGTCTCTATGTCTCGGATACTTTAAAAAAATATAAGAACATGAGATAGATAATGTGAAATTATGAACAAAGATTATTATTAATAGATAACAAAAATAGTCGAAGTACATTTAAACGTCATGGATATGAAAGAGTTAATACAAAAGTAGTCAAAAGTCAAAATACGTCAAATAATTAAAAAATTAAGAAAGTATAATATGAGTCATAAATAGTTAAGTCATAAAAATGGAAACTTACATAATTGGCAAATTAAAATCCGATGTCATGACAATCTCCCGTAAGCAAACAAACACAACGGATACATCGCGAAACGTGTTACGCGACCGGCAAAATACAAATAAGTAAAATACAAAAATAAGTAAATAAGATATATATAATAAACAACAGAGGGAGGAGAGATCGCAAGTAAAGGCTTATTTGCAAAGTTTTATAAGTAAGGGCGCATACGCAGGATCAAGAAGTTCGGTATCTTTCATCATATTTAAGCCGTTTTTTTGCATCTTAATATGTAGCATTTCAGAGATGAGCTTTTTATTGTAAAATTGTTCGTTGTCCAGAATATGAACCTCACTCCATGCGAATTCGTGGCCTAGATCGCTACAATGCCTGCTGACCACTGACTGTCGCTCATATTCTTGACGAAAATTGCGTTGATGTTCGGTCAATCTTGTGCGTAGTTGTCTGCTAGGTTGGCCTACATACGAAGCGTTACAAGACGAGCAGTCAATTCTGTATACTACATTACTGTTTGAAGTCGAAGCGAGCTTGTCTTTATGTACTTTTATGAAACTACTTAATGTATTTAAATTTCTGTACGAGAGTCTAAAATTTAGTGCCT